TCTTAGAAAACAAACATGTCAATTTTACAAAAGTCAAAGTAGTTACTTAAAAATAACAGACTTTTTATGGGCTGAGGATATAGCTCAGTGGCGCTGCACCTGGCTGGCAAGCACAAAGTTCTGAGTTCAATCGCCAAAAAAACCAGACTTCTTAAAAATAAGATGTGCTAAAAAATTTCTGTACCTTCTGCATTATTATCACTATGCCTCTCCAGTTTCAGTCTTAGGTGCCTGCTATTATTATATTCCTATCATTTAAAATCTGGCGTGTAATATTTATTACATGCCATTCTCCAACCACGCTAGGGAAATAATCATGGCAGTACTATGCAAACTATTGATTCCTGCTCCCAGAGGAGACAGACAGAAAGATTAGTGTAAGTCCTGGGTGGGCAGGACAGCTGTACTCACAGAGGCCCAACAGGTACATGCTTGAGTGAACAGATGAAGAATATATACATAGGGGCCAACACTGTATTCATAGACAGATGGGCAAGGTGAGGATCGGGCTGTCTCTGTACTGCAGTAAATACACAAGTGAGATACAGACATACGGACTGCTTTTCCGATAAAGTAATTTGGGGAGCCAAGGGTGTTTTTGATGGATAGGCTCCCTTGTGTTCTCACTTAGGGATTGGAAAATCAAGATCATTATGATTTGCTACCCATCAAAGCTTCCCACTCAGAAGAACACAGTTTAAAAAGGAATGCATTTATCCCATCTCAATTTTTTTGGTGTATCTTTTTTTCCTCCTAAAGCATAATGAGCTTGTCAGAGTTTCCATGGTGAATGCAGGGCACCATGGAAACTGATAGATTTAGCTACACTAAAAGAATAAATAAAATACGCAGGCATTTATTTCGCTGTGCAGTGACAACTTCTCTCCTAGATAGGAGAGGGAAAGTGGGTTTTATTTAACTTGCCTGCCCTTCTCTCTCTGTGCCTCATGAAAACTGGAAGTATTCCCCCTGGACTGACTCCTGACCTATGCTGACTGGATTGCTGTTCTCCTCAAGGCCCGTTGCCTTCACTCGGCTCTCGTTTTGGGCTAGGGCTGTGTGTCATCAGCAGTGTTGGAAAACCACGTACGCCGTTAAGGCGATGACTACAACCCATAGTGCAGGACATCTGCTCAGCTAATCCCTTGCAGTCTGTCATGGTGAGATGGGGCAGGAGGACAACTGGTGTCCAGACCTAGGTCTGTCCTGTATGGGGTGGATAGGCAAGCCAACTTCCCTGACCTGAGCCTGCTCATCTGTGAAATGGCTAAATTGGGGTAGCACTTTGGTCCATTTGAAGTAGGGAGAATTGTGATCTTAAGCAACAAAGCATTTCAGCTTTTCTGTATGTTGAAAAGTTCTCATTATAAAATGTTGGAGAATTAAATAAATGAAATAAAACTCTTTTTAAAGCTCTAGTCCCAGAGAGTTACTCTTTATTAGCATACACCCAGCATCTAATTGGTTAGTTTTTATCACTGAAATATAAGCAAAATCATCCTTCGAAATTCAACATGCTACTCAGAACATCCTACAGGTAAGCAAGATTGGGTAAAGAAGATAACCGACAGAAAGGAAGGAAGAGAGGGTATAGTTTTCCTAGAGAACACAGTCTTCTAGGAGACAGACTAGTAAAGAACATCATCCTCGGCTCCCAAAGGAGGAAGACTAACATCTGAGAGAGTAGAGGTATGACGGCTTCTTGCTGAGGGGGTAGGATGGGGTTGTGAGCATATCCACTCAAACCTTTTTGTTCTTCTGTGGTACTGGGTATAGAACACAGGGCTTCCTTATCAATCAATAGCCCCAGCCTTTTTTATTTCTTATTTTGAGACAGGGTCTCTAATTTACTGAGTTTCCCTGGCTGGGCTTGAACTTGCCACCCTCCTGCCTCAGCCTTTCACATTGAAACATTTAGAGGTGGGGTGAGGGCGGAAAAGGAAGCAGGCATGGTGTTCGATGGTCAAAGGGCATTACATGGTAAGGGAAGGGCACAAAGCAGATTTGTGCTCATGGTGGGGAGGACAGAATGGGAGTGAATCTGAGGATGCAGCCAGCAGCTACCTAGGCATGGTCCTTGTCAGGGGGAAGTCTTTCCGCCAAAGGAAGTGACACGAAGCAATGTTTGGGCTGTGTATTAAAGGTGAATATGAAACTCCTTTCTTTCTCCAAACCTCAGTAGCTTCGAGAACATTTCCCCAGGGTAGGAGTTAAAATTGTAGGAGGACCAGTAATTTAAAGGAGCCACCAAGTCTGAGGGTGCAGAAGCAGGGAGAACAGTAGAGAAGCCAAGACTTCTGACATGGGGCTGAGCCCGGCACCCGACAGAGCGGGCGGATCCTGAGTGATAGGGGCTGGAGTGGGACAGTGGGCCTGTGTACTGTTCAGAGCTAACACTCAGCCTTGTATGTTGCTACAGGAGCTAACGCAAAGGGAGCCGGAGGCCCTGGCCATGCCTTCTGTTTGAAGAAATTAAAGCTGCATAAGATTATTCTTTCCATCAACCACTAGATAACAACATTAATGAACATGAAACCAAAACTCCCTAACAATTCCATTATCTCAACAATTTCCATTGTTTGATGTACCTTTTCAATCCTGTACGCTAATAGCTTTTCACGGTTTAGTCATAGCATAAATACCATTTTAAAAGCGTAAAATCTACCTGGAATTTAGCTCAGTGGTTCCGCCGCCTGCCTCAAAAGTGCAAGGACTCGAGTTTGATCCCCAGTACCAATAAATAAATAAATAATAAATAAATAAAATAAAACAAAAGCTTAACATTACGCGTTTCCCATGTGGCTGTATAGTTACCCTATTTTTAAAAAACCCTGCATAATATATATTTTTCTTTTACTTTTGAGATACGTTCATCTTATGTTGCCCAGGCAGGCCTCAAATTCCTGAGCTCAAGGGATCCTCCTGCTTAAGTATCTGGGACTACAGGCAACTGCCAGTGCACTCAACCATAATATCCTGTGTTCTGTTTACTCATTTGTGTGGTACTGCGGATTGAACCCAGGGCCTCACACATACTAGGCAAGTGCTCTACCACAGAGCTCCATCCCTAGCCCAGTACACTGTATTCTAAATCACAAAACTGCTTGCAGTAGTTGGACATTTAGGCTGCTCTCCTTAGCTGTATGTTTTAAGGGAACTGATGCGCACTGCCGGAATGTTTACTTGAACCCTCTTAGAGATGAAAAGGAGGCATTTCTCTCCCTTTCTCCCTGAGGTTTATGTGTGTAAACCGGCCAACAGGAGAATGTTTTCAGAGTACTGACTGTTGGGACGGCAAGGAGGGAGCTGGTCTGCAGGATCAAGAAAGTTTACAGGGAGAAGCTGCAGAAGGCTGCGTGAGACAGCTGTAATGGCTTCAGCTTCAGGGATTCTTAATTCCGTGTTCATGGTAGAGTAACCGACCATTTCCACGTTCCTGGCCACCCAAGGATCTTCTGGCACTTGAGACCTTAGGGCTGAAACAAGGAAAAATCCTTTTGTAAACCGGGATGAGTCAGTCACCTTGGAGTGGAGGAAATGAAGGGACTGGAAGGGATGAGTCATTTGTATAAGCCAGCTCAGCATCACAACGCAGCAATTCAGAGAAAGCCTGCTCCAACACTACAATGAAAGCCTCCTGCTTTATGTAGGAGTCCAAGTACATATTTATCTCAGGTTATTGCTCTGCTCACAGGGAAAAAAAAAAAAAGCATCCTTTCATCCGCTTATTTACTCAGTAAACATGTGTGGGACACCGGACACTGATCCAGACATAAGGCAGTCTCTGCTCTTGTGGTGCTTGTTACTGGGGTGTTTGTGGGGGTGGAATAAATGAAAAGACATAAAATAAATAGGAAGAATATGAACAGTGCAGTGGCGAAAAGGATGGAATAAAAACTGCAGGGAAAGATGGGAGGAAGGGGTGCTGCTGGCTTGTTGGCCTGGGGAAGTTACCCCAGAGAGCTGACATTGGAGACATACGAGGGATAAGAGCAGTCACATCAGGATCCGCTGGAAACAGAAGCAGAAGGAATCGGGTGTTTGAAGGCCTTGAAGGGAACCATTGGCCCTCCCCCAGGGAGCTGACTCAAGGAGCCTGTGATGTTGTCTGAGGAAGGAATGGTGATTTTTGAGGCTTCACAACAACCTGAGAAAGCTTCACTTCCACAAGGGAGATCAGAAACTGAGAGCCTCTTTTGAATCGGTTTATGTCTGTGATACACGATAAACACTCCCATAGGGGAAGTGGTAAGTACACTTACTGCATCTTCATATTTGTTACTTCCCTTCCTCTCCCGTCTCCCCATCTTCAGGTCCCTTTCCCATTTTCGCAGAGCCAATGACCCCCGCTTTCTTAGCCTTCTGATCCCCAGTCCTGCACCTTGGGCTACTCCACTGCCTAGCTATGTGGCTTGAGAAATTTCTCCCCGTGTACAACTAGAAGTAAACAAGGGCATTTATTTCAGACATGAGCAAAATTAGTATTGGATTTGTTTGTGAACAGGCTCAGGAACCAAAACATTGGCTTCAAGAAAGAGAGGAACTCTGGGGTCCACATGAATGAGCAGTTCTGGACAGTTTTGTAAGACGAGTGTCCAGATCCTCCTTTGAGGACGAAGACACTCTCTGCGGCCGCGCAGAAACTGAAAATGAAACTAACTGGTCATGGGAGAGGAGACCTTTCACCTGTCCATGAACTTGCGGAAGTTCGTTCAGAACCAGGGGCTACAAGTTCAGGAATTACTTGACTCTGTGTCTGGGGCAGAGAAGACAGACACAAGTCCAGGTGTGGCGACTAAAGAAAGCAGAGGCGGTAGATTTGACAGCTGCAGGAGTTAACACATCCAGAGCTAACGCTGGGGTGGGGAGTAAACCACACCCCACCGGAGAGCGGAGCGGGAGCCAACTTGCTGGAGGAAAATCCTATTGGCATCGGGGAGGCAGGGAGCCACCCCTGGGCGCGGCCTGCAGGGGGCAGGCGATCGCCCGGGGAAGCGGGCACAGGACGTGGCCGATCCTGTGTGCTCCGCAGCCGCCCACCGCGCAAGGACCCGCGCCCCGCGCCGACCTGTGCGCCGCCGAGATGCCGCCCCTGGCTCACATCTTCCGAGGGACTTTCGTCCACTCCACGTCGACCTCTCCCATGGAGGTGCTTCGAGATCACCTCCTTGGTGTGAGCGACAGCGGCAAAGTAAGTGGGCGCGGGGCCCGGCGCTGCGGGGTCCTGGGTTCTCTCCGCGCCCAGCGGGCGCCGCGGCTCCAGAGCGAACTTGAGCGTTTGGCTCCAGCGGTTCCCGGGGCCAGCCTGGGAGTTTGCAGGGAGAGCCCCCGAGAGGTGGAGTACTCGGACCAGTACCGACAGCCAGCCTGCTGGGCTGCAGGGTCAAGAGGAAAGGCGAGGATACGCACCCAGATCTAGAAATTGGCAATAAATCCGAACACTTGTTTCATTCATCTTTATTCTTCTGGAGCCTGCCTGGCACAGAAGAGGCACTCTGTAAATCTGGTAGAATTTTTTGTGAAGACAGTAACAAGAGGAGGGGTCATCATCGGATCAGTGTTGATTAGTCTGTTCAGTATGGACAATGAGCAAAGACTGACTCCACTCACCTGGTCATTCCGTAGGGACGGTATACTATATACTAACTATAAGGCTAAATGACTAGTAACACTAGTCTAGAGAAATTCCTAGCCTCTCTCTCTCACACACACAGAGCCATTTGCATCAAAGCAAGCACTTCCATTTTTAAGGTTCAGAATGCCTTCTATGAGTGTATCTTCTAGACTTCCCTAAAAATGAGGACTTTTACAAATGACAAAAGTAATTTGACATCTAATATTTACTGTTCTGTACACAGATGCTGACTGTATTCAGCAGTGGCCCTGACTAGTTTACTAAGTGAAGCTGCTCCATATAGGGAAGAAAAACAAATCTGAGGAGGGGATATTTTTGCTCCGTTTCCCAACTCTTAGTTTAGTTAGCAAAATACACAAATTTGCATTTTGTCAGACTGAAGACTATTCTTACCTAAAGCTATTTCTGAGTCAGTCAGTGACAATTTTGACTTGTAACTCTTCTCTTCCATTTGTGGATAAAAAAGAAACCCTGTTTATATGGTGCTTAAAAAATAATCTCTCTGTGCCTATTTGGGAAGCCTGCTGTTGTGTTTCCAAGGTGATACAACTCTCATTGCTCACCAAGCACTGTGATTCTAGTAGGTCTGAGAAGGGCATCCTCACCTGGGGGGTGACGCAGCCCTCAAGTTTCAGGGGGCTCAAATTTGGGGCAAGTCTCAGGAAGCCACAGAACTGAGAGACCTGCTAACCTGGTGAGAGATTGGAGGTGAGTCTAGGACTATCAACTCTTGGATCCCTTTTTAAAAATTTAATTTCTTGTGTCCAGGATTCTAATGGGTTGGGGAGCAAGCAAGAGTGGATTTGAGGACTGGCTTTAACAGTGGCTCAAAGAATAAGAAAAGGAAGTAACTTATCTTAAAAATTACCTTTCCCAGGGCTGTGCAAAAGAGAAATAAGAGTGTCCCCAATAGGCAATCAGTGCTTGAGTCGGGAGTTTCTTCCTAAGGAGCTTACTGAGACTGCAAATTTAGGCAGTCAGTTTCTGACTCATTAAGGGAAATGGCATGTTAATACATTTCAAGATTTGATTTCCCCCATGTAGAAATAAATATATTTTACCTTTGGAGTAGCTGGGATAAAAAGTATTTATTTATTATTTTAAAATTTTAAGGTTCAAAAAACAATATTCTCTTGAAATAAATATATGGGACCACCATGATCTTTACATTTTTACCAAGCTCCTGAAACTGTTCTTGTGGTGAATGTTGGGATGATCCAGAAGCATCTAAAGGTGCGAGTTAAAATGCTGATTCTTGGGCACCATCCTCAGAGAATCTCATTGCGTGGGCCTGGAGTGGGCCCCAGGAGGTGACGCCAGCAAGTGTCCCAGGAGATTCAGACGCAAGTAGTGGGAGAATTACACATTAAATAACTACAGTAGGTAGGGTGTGTGGTGGGATGGACTATGTGAGAGGTCAGGAGCTCAGTTCTGTTTCAAACCCAGATCTGGGGTAACATTTCAGAGAGAGGGGACACAATTTCCTGTGTCTTTCTTCTACTAGTCCTCATCTCTCATTTTTTGTAAATTCACTTAGGCTCGCAGAAAGCTAGTAACCAATTACACTTCATTCATTAAATTAAAGCTTAATTTAAAAAACTTTACAGCCAACATTTTGGTATGGGCATTTTGAATTCATAGTTTTTCTAAAGCAACATCTAGCTTTAAAAAAAAATAAAGTGAGCCCAGCGTGGTGGTGCATGCCTTTAATCCCAGTACTCAGGAGGCTGAGACAGGAAGATTGCTGTGAGTTCGAGACCAGCCTGGACTACATAGTGAGTTCCAAGTCAGTCTCAACTACATAGTGAGACCCTGTCTCAAAAAATCAAATACATACATACATACATAAAAAAATAAAGACTTCAACATGTGTGATTCCTTCAGGACATTGTGTGCTCAAATATTACTGAGTTACCTGATTCTTTTCACATAGGCCAGAGTCAGGTTAACTTTAAATTTACATCAAGATGTCTTGGGACTTTGAAAGCACACTTACCCAGAAGCAAGAGTGAGGAAGAGAATTATTTTGGAAGTAGTGCCCTGGGTGGCAGGAGCAAATGCCATGGAGAAACAGAAACCTGTTTAAGTCAGAGCCTTTACCAGTTACCTGCTCTGAGACCATGGGTGAGACGGCTAACCTCTCTGGGCCTCAGTTTCCTCAACTGTAGAATCAGATTTCCATTTGTTAACTATTAGATGACCTCTGATGTATGAAAATGCCTGGTATGTAGTGGATACTCTTAACCTGTACCCTGTTCATTCCATCCCCCTTTTCCCCTGCCCCTAACAAATCTTTAGTCTCTTGCGCACCACGGCATTTTTGTACATTTCTTCACGGTGGTATCAATGTAGGCCAAGTGGTAGAGAAGGAAGCCATGTCCTGGGATAGATGAACTAGGTTGGAAGAGGAGAGCAGTTGCTAGAGCTCTTGCGACACAAAGATACACCTGGGAAGAAAGATCCAAGGAGCGTTTGCAGCTCGGTGTACTCGCATGTTATTTTCATAGCCTTCACAGTGCCATTGTTACAGATGAAGTTGAGACTTGAGAAATCATGCATCTAAAGATAATGGTGTGATAGCTGGATTTGGAAATATGGACCAAAGGTCATGTTCCTTTTACTATAGCAGACTGCTTCCCTAAGACTCTTGCTGAAGAGCTTGCACTTTAGCAAGGCAGCTAAGATTGGTTGCTCTACTAAAAGCAGACCTATTTCTGAGTTAAATACTGGGTTCAGCATTGAGTTTTTGTTGTTGTTGTTGTTTGTTTGATTTTTTTGGTACCGGGGATTGAACTCGGGTCCTTGTGCTTGTGAGGCATGTGGCCAAACCGCTGAGCTAAATCCCTAGGCCCATCATTGAGTTTTGATGAATAAAGTACAAAAACTGCCTCCCTGAGGTTGATAATTTAGTGATACACTGACAGAATCTGCCATGACCTATCAGAATTTGAATTAGTCTGGGGGTAGAATGCAGGCTTTGTCCAGTGTGAAGTGTCATTTAAGTAAGGATCCGAAGGGTGAGTAGAAGTTAAGTAGGCTAAGGCAGGCAGGGGACTCAAAGTAGAGGGAATTTTCTAGGTAGAGGAAACCGTCTATGCATAGGTCCTAGGGTAGAAAAGAAGTGAAGAGCAGGGTGGCTACAGCCAGAAACTGAGGGGACAGATAACACAAGGTAAGGCATGATGGATAGGCAGGGCAATATCTGGAGGACATGGGGAGTGAGGGAGGGATTGTACCATGATCATGTTTGTTATTTTTAAAGGTCATTTTAGGTTTAAGATAGAGAATGCATTGAAAGTAAGTTGAAGGGCCAGGGATTTAGCTCAGTGGTTCCGCTGCCTACCTTGCAAGTGTAAGGCCTGGATTTCGATCCCCTGTACCAAAAAAAAAAAAAAAAAAAA